TACAGAGGTTGTGGAAGCGGAGGGGGAGGGAGAGGAACAGTTGGTTGAAGATGCTCCTGTTGCAGCTGCTGCCAAATATGTGGATGTGGAGGATGGATTCAGGGTACTACTATAGGCGCCACCATTTATGGTATTCGAACAATTTGCTGATGAGGAGCCGCCACCACCCTCGTTCATTTTGTGGGATGACGTATTATTTCGATGTGAAGTATTTGTTGTAGCCGATGATGATGATGTGGCGATCACATTAGTGTTGTTGTGTTGCTGTTGTTGTTGTTGTTGATGGTGGTGGTTATTGTGGCCCGTGGAGGAGGAGGCGGCGGATGATGAAGTTTTTAAATTCGTTAAACTTTTGTGTAATTTCGGTGGTAAGGCTGGATTCATGATATCATTGTTATAGCCTTTCAGGTGGTGTCCTGCTCCCGATCCATGGGCAAAACTTAAATAGGCATCAACCTTTATTTTTTCGTTTTTTTGGTAAAGGAGAAATGTTGTGGTTTCAGTTCAGTGAGCATCATGTTGTTGTTTTGATTCAATTTTTACACGCACGCACGCACACACACACAAACATAAACATCAAAGCCAAGCCATCCACATCAAAAAACGTTCACAAAAAGAAAGTTTTAAGAAAAATGGATTTAAGCTGATTTTTTTGCACACAGATTGTCTTTTTTTATTTGAATTTGGATTTCTTTTTGTACATAGTATACACATAGAAGAGAAATGATATAATTTTGTGGTGAATATTGTGGTTGTAGGTGGTGGTAAGTTTTTTGATCGTGGTGGTGGTGGGGGTGGACATTAAAACATAGAGGATAGTTGTCTCTACTAATTGTTTTTTTTTTTATTTTAATATGAAATTTGTAGTGCAATAGGAGGAGAAAATGATGATTGTTATTGTCTGCGTAATGAGGTAATGTTCTGTAAAATCAAAAAATGGTGATGATGAGATATAATTTTAAAAAAATTGTAGATTGATAATTTTTTTTTTTTTATATTTTTTGTGGCAGATGAAAATATAATATATATAGATTAAATTATATATAATATAATAAAAATACGTCCAGAGATTTGATATAAAAAATACAATATGATGCAGTGAATAGATAAGGCAAAAAATTCGGATTTTTCAAAACTTTTTTGAGGTTATGTCATTTTTTGAGGTTATTTTACATTTCACACTTTTGAGGTTAAATGTGACTTAAAAGAAATTAACTGAGTTATATTAGGGTAATAGTGGGCGTGGATTTTTAAAAATTATATTTCAGGGACTTCTAATAGGCGTGGATTTTTAAAAAATATTTTTCAGGGACTTCTAATAGGCGTGGATTTTTAAAAATTATTTGTTCAGGGACTTATGATAGGCGTGGATTTTTAAAATTTATTTTTTTCAGGGACTTGCGATATGCGTGGATTTTAAGAACTTTTTTTTCAGGGTTTGATGATAAGTGTGGATCTTTAAAATTTATTTTTTTCAGGGACTTACGATAGGCGTGGATCTTTATAACTTATTTTTTCAGGGACTTATGATAGTTGAAGATGAAGAAAAAAGGCGAAAATTAAAATAGTCTGATTCGGGTTAACCTCAAAAAAGTTTGAGAAAAAATCGTCACACAAGAAATACAACAAATTAGAGAAGAAAAAATCGTTACAGTTAAGAAAAAAGAGAAAATAAAACATTTCTCACATCAAACATACCTTGCTATTCAAATAGGCAGCAGCAGCTGGCGATGTTATGGTGGTACTGTCAACCATCGATGCCCGGCTACTGCCACTACTGGCACTGCGTAAACGATCACCACTACTGCTCGAGCTGCGCTTGGTGACACGACCCAAAACTATGGGCGAAGAATCGTCATGATGTTGCGGTGGTGGCAACATTAACGATGACGAATGATGATTGTGACTGTGACTATGGGCATGTCCATGATGGTGATGTTGCTGCTGTTGTTGGTTATTGGATGACGTTGTAAGTTCACCCGACGATATTGTGGCAATTTTCCCCTCATAATTACAGTGACCTCCTCCCCCGCTCATGTTGTTGCCGGACCGTTTCATTGTGTTGTTGGCCGAATTGGCAATCATGTTACTGTTATCGGTTTGCTGTGATGACGATGCTTGTGATGTTGTGTTCGTCTTTGCCGATCTTTGATAATTCAAAGAATTGCTATTCGAATTTCCTTGTAGCCGCGACGAAGTCGATGAATGTTGACTGGGTGAGGGTGAATTCGAGGCAGACGAATTAGAATTCAATTTGTTGCTAAGGACAGTGAAGAAAGCATTGTTGGTGGCATTTTGAGCATTGCTGAGCTGGGTCGAACCCATATACGACATTGGCACATGCTGTACGGGGCATTGACAGGTTGGCTTCTTCGAAGATGACGAGGAGTTGGAGGCATTCGACGAGGAGGTTGTCGATGCTGACGAGATGTTGCTATTTGCCGAAGAGTTGCCAGCCGAGAGTTTGGCATCTGCTTTGGATGATTTGCTATTTGTGAGATTTTGTGTTAGGGGATCGGCCACAGCGTAGTAACGTGGCATTGTACGATGATAACGTTTCGATGAAGATCCCGAGGAGGAGGTGGTTTTTGAACCACCACCACCGCCATTAGATGTTTTACTAGATTGTGAATGTTGTAGAGGCAAAGTGTTGTGACCCGATGTCGCCATGGGTAGTAGATGATGATTTTCCGAATTTGTGGCCGTGGAAAATGTTGACAAATGATCATTAGTGGCTGCTGAGGCATCCACATCTATGGCAGGTGTTGAAATGGCCTGTGTTAGGGAGGAGGGCGATGGTGAAGCATTGCCAAATTGGGTGGGAGATGCTATTACTTCACCATTTTCCGAGCCGTTGCCATTCGACGAACAGGGTGGCAGTGAATGATAGCCACCACCCCCACTTCGATGAGAACCTTGACTTACATTCACCTCCACATCAACCACATATTGTTGTAGTGGCGGTAGTTGGTCGGCGGCAGTTCGCTGCAGACGTCGTGACACAGTATTGCCACTGTTACTGCTGCCCCCCACAGTTGTTCCATTCAAATGGCAATTTTTATAACCACAATCGTTGGAACCGACCAATGTTTGTACTGCTGTTCCACCAGATTGTTGTTGTTGGTGCTGTCGACTTAGGGAGGCTGTTGTCGAAGCATTTGCCGTTAAGGTTGATGTCATTATTTGGGCTGACTGTAAAACACTTTGGGTGGCGGATGATGACGACGACTGCTGCTGCGGTTGTTGTTGTTGCTGCTGGGGAAGAGCAGCCATTTGATGATGTTGTTGCTGGTGTTGTGAGACAATTGGTGTCATTGTCTGCACACAAATGGAATTACTTTGAGCTACGTGCAAACGATTTGTATTGTTGGCATTATTCCCAACACATGTGGTGGACGAAGTGGTGGCAGCCAACATTTGCTGCTGCTGAGCTTGATGATGCTGTTGCTGCTGCTGTTGTTGTTGGTGATGATGATGCTGCAATTGCATTTGTTGGTGCTGCTGCTGGTGCTGCGATTCATCTTGTAAACTATAGGGTGGTTGATGGTTCTCTCCGGTGGCTATGGTGGTAATATTTCCACCACTATTTATATTGATATTTATTAAATTGGTGGTACTCTGGGTAATTTGATGTGATTGTGCCGGATTTGTGGCCGTCGTCTGGCCCTGTGGTGATGGCCCCGTCAGTACGTGAGCCTGTAATGTGGGCACAATATGACCCGTCGTCGTCGTCTGATGACTCATTGGACCATGTGACGATGGCTGCGGCTGTGGTTGCGCATGATGTTGTATTTGTTGCATTTGCTGTTGGGCCCTTCGATTCATATCGGCCGTTTGTAACTCCACCGAATTCATGCCCATTGTGGCTCTTTGATTGGCAGCTACCTGAGCTGCCGCCGCAGCTGCTGCACACTGGGCACTTAAGGCCTCAGCCTGTGATATGGCCACCGCCTCATCGTATGGCGGCGGAGCTTCACCACGTGGAAAATATCCACTTGGTGGTTTCCACAAGGGGTAGTGGGCCGCTCCACCATATGTATAATCCATGCTACTGAGATTGCCCTCCATATAACCCATATTGCCAGCAATATAACTGCAAAAAAGAGAAATTAAATCAATTATTATTGTACAAAAAAAAGTTCATCCCTTAACTCACCCTATACTTCCCACAATGCTACGTTGATCCTCGGCCGTTTGACGATTTTCACGTGCCCTCAATTTTTTGCGTCTAAATCGATTTATAAGGAAAAATATCATCGACAGTGATAGCGTGGCAGTAATGCCACTAACGATTAGTCAAACGCCAAAATCCGTACTACCATCGGCTAGCTGATCATCGAGACAAATCACCTCACAGCAGTTATTGCCCGATCCCACGGTTTGAAAAGATTTACATTTGGTAAATGCCTCACACAAGACCATTTTACAGGCCTTCGGCAGACCACTATCACATATGCACAAACGACACGAATCTGGACCGGGCATATAATGCATCCCAGTCTCGTACATCTTGCCATTGTAGTCGCGACAATGGGCGTTGATCATTTGTGTTGAGCTGGCAGCAAGGGCATCTGAAAGGAGCGGAAAGAGAAATGATTTCAGTTAGTTAAAGGATTTTATGAAATGTTTTTTTTTTTTGTTTTAAACAACATATTCCCGGAGTATTTATTCAAATATATATTTTGGACCCGAATTGAATATCCAGAAGTGTGGAAAAATTCATTTTTGGTGGTTTCTTAACCAATTCTAAGTTATGTTGAACCCATATAATACGGATCTAGAGGTGTGAAATCTTGTTGTAGTAGCCAGATCGGCAGATCTGAATATAAAGACATTGACAATTTCAGAAATGGACTGTCTATGTTAGCAGTGACCCTGGTAGAGGATTCCTCGTCAAGAATGCCGCGAAAATCGCCATGAACAATTTTATTATATCCCTGCAGTAGATGGATTATGCTTGGATGATAACTGGTCCCAATACTGTTAACGGTCGGAACATAGACATTGACAATTTCAGAATTGTCGGAATGAACTGTCTAGGTCAGCAGTGACCCTAGTAGAGGATTCCTAGTTAATAATGCCGCGAGAATCGCCAAGAATAATTTTATTATCTCCCTGCAGTAGATGGATTATGCTTGTATGATAACTGGTCCCAATACTTTTGACGGGCAGAATATAGACATTGACAATTTCAGAATCGTCGGAATGAACTGTCTAAGTTATCATATGACCCTCCGCCTCCGTTCGACTATACATCTCGGCGCTCATTGCTTTAATTGTATCAAAGTGCATTTCATTAGTCTTATGGCTGTGATTATAATTCTAAACCCTTTAGAATCCTATTTTAAGATATAGACCTTCACATCATATGGCTCATGACTTTCGTTAAGTTTTTAAATAACCCAAAACAAAACGAACAAAAGTAAATGACATTGAAATGAAGGGTTAAAAAGTGGTACCTTTTTATGTGTTTCATTTTTCAACGGTCGACAACTACAATAACAAACAAATAAAATGCAATTCAAATTTTCGACACATGTGTCACATTAAAACATACTTCAATGACAACAACAAAAACAACAACTACAAGAACATAACGTCAAGTATACAAAAGAAAACAACAATATTTTCATCATTAAATTGGGGGGGAAAAAGAACCCAGTTTGCACTTTGGTGCTATGGATGATGGTGGTGGTGCTGGTAGAGAGGAAGTGACAACATAACCAAACACTCACACACACAAAACATATTCAGGTGTCAAATACCAAAGAAACATGTGTGTTACAAGCCCACACATCTAGCCAGCAAGCTAGCTACTCCATGGAGGCCTTCCCTCAATATTTTGTGACAATATTTTGAAAATGTGTGTGCCATTTTTTGTTGTTGTTGTCGTTGCCGTTGTTATTTAGGGTTTTTATTTTGAGAGAGAGCCAAACACAGGAAACAACAACAACAAACAAACACAAAACTACAAAATAATGCAGCCACATGTTATATGGTTGAGTGATCGACGGGATAGATGGGTAGCTGGCTAGCTAGTTGGCTGGATGAATGTACATGAGCAGCAGTTATATATTTTCCATTCCAGCTAGTTTCCCAATAGTTGAACATGGTGCACATGTGCGACATGTTTTCGGTAACATTGTTGTATGGTTCCCAAAAGAACACAAAACAGAATGACAGCAACAACAAATGCACTGAAGCATAACGACAGCACCACCGCCCCCACCACCAACAACAACGGCAAAACCAATCTACAAACATGGACAGCAAGCAACACCATTTGTGATGTTTGTTGGCCCATTAAAACATGTTACAAGTTGTATGTCAGCCAGGCAGCCAGCCAGCAAGCAATCATTATTCCCTGGCCTCCACCACCCTCCTTTCTTCTACGATGTGCTTGGTGGGGCACACAATTTCCTCATCAGGCCATGTTCCACATTTTCTTTTTTGGTGTTGGTGGTGTTGTTGTTGTTGTTGCTGGTTATGTTTGTGTACGTGTGGCACATTTGACTTTTTCTTTCGTTCCCCGAAAATGCAAAAATGCATAATAAAACAACAACAACAAACATTATACGACCGACCAACATGATTCCCAGAGAAAGACAAGCAGCAGGGTAGACTTTATGATTATTCCTAAAAAAATATTGTATATATTGAAACTTCGTTTGTTTCCATAAGAACTTGTAATATTTTATATTATTCCATTTTTTGTGTTGCTGCTGCTGTCATCCCGCCGTCCATGTGGGGGAGTGGGCGTAGAATTTTGAAATATATGTTGGTGGCTACAAATGTGTATGCGTGCATTCGTGTGTGTGTGTGTTATATCTGTGTGTGACTATTTGAAAACAAGAAATAACATTGTGTTTGTGACATATATCCTTTGACATATCCGCTACACAAACACTTGTATACACCAACACACACACGCACACATGTAGAGCACACACAAGGCTCACTTGCTCGCTCGTTCACCACATCTACAAACATCCCCTATTGAGAGCAAATGTAAGCCTGGTGGATTCACCAAACAACAACAACATAATCTCTTTGCCATAAACAAGAATAATTACGACAACAACAGCAACAACAAAAAACGAATATTCTCAGTGCAGCATAAAAAACACAAACGCACACACACCATCCACCCACCTCAGTTGCTCAATAGCACACATTTTGCAATTTTTATTCTCATGGCTTGAAGAGCAGTAGTGGAGCACATTTGGGAAGGTTGAGAAAATTTTCGAAGGGGGCCTTTTTACCACAACTTAGGTAACTGAGGAGAAATAGACATTATTCCTTGTTAGCCTGCTAGTCACATGATATGAAACGTAATAAAATGAATCATGAAAAAAATTCGTATTGCCCACGTTGGGCGCCAACAAAATTCTAATCATGTTAATATGGTATCTATTTCGATCACAAATAAAAATAATTTATTCGTTCTTTCGGGTTGGGAAACGTTGAGCCCCAACAAATTTCTGAAAATTGATATGAAATATATTTTTATCGCAAATTCAAGCTGTTTAATAAAAATATATAAAATTTTGGGTGAATATAAGAGAAAAATATCCACGTTGGGCGCCACACATTTTGCAATATTTCCCATGGGGCTTTTTTACCACATTTAGGTGACTGAAGGAAAATAAACATTAATTCTTGCGAGCCTTATATTTACTGGCCACGTTGGGCGCCACCAAATTCTGAAGAATTTAATTTGGCATCAATTTTTATCGCAAATTCTATATTTTTCGCCACTATATATCAGAATGTTTAATAAAAATAATTTGTTCGTTACCTCGCGTTGGGCGCCACTACAACGGTTATTTACGATGAAGGTGATATATATGCATTTTTGGATTAATATAAGAGAAAATAAGTTAATTGGCATTAATTTGTATCCAAAATGCTATATTTTCGCCACTATATATGAGAAAGTTTAATAAAAAAAATTGTTCGCTATCTCGCGTCTATTGAAGTTGAAGGTGAAATATATAAAGAGAAGGTGAAATATTATAAGAGAAAATATATCGGTCGTGTATGTCTTATTAATTTTCTAAAATAAAAATATTCCTTTTGTGCTTCCACGTTGGGCGCCACACATTTTGCAATATCTTCTAAAGGCTTAAAATACGTAAAATGGGTGATCGACACTTTGGCATTTTTAGTGCCAACCATGCTTTCCAAAATACTCCAGACACATTAGTCCAACGGATTAATATCCGGAGATTTTGGTGGCCATGTGCGCTGGAAATGAAGCGAGGAACTTCATGTTTTAAACATTCTTGGGTGGTGCGTGCTGAGTGCGATAGTGCTGAGTCCTATTGGAATGTCCAAAGTCTGCGGCCAAAATGTTTGCGTGTCCAGGCTTTAATACACCCTCTAGTATATTTTCGCGATAATATTCGGCATTTATTCTGATGCCACGGTCGATTAAGACGAGCGGAGAGCGACAATCGGCTGGCGGCCCACACCATCACCATGGCCGGCGCTTGAGTTTTGTTGGCCAACCGAAGGTGCACATTTTCAGCTGACCTCTTTGGCAAGTAAACACGATCATTTTGTTTGTTTTCGATCTGCTGGACAACGAATGTTTTCCTATCGGAGAAAACCAAATTCGGCAGTTCACCACTGTCGTCCAAGCGAAGCAAATCTTTAGCTCTTTTGAGTCTATTTTCTTACTGGATGAGCCTTCTATTTACTGGAGCCTTCTACTTACTGGACGTTAAAAATTGAGAAAAAATGTCATGTAGGCCCACGTTGGGCGCCAACAAAATACTAATTAAATTGATAAATTCCTAACCACTTTAGGTTTCTGATAATGTTGTGGATTAAAGCAGATTCTATAGTTGAAAAGAAGCTTAGAGACGGTGGAAAGTGAGCACCCATTAGTCTGTGCGATCTGTAGGCCAAAATTGGACAGCGACACAGGTGATGCTCAACTGTCTCCGCCATTAATGACTCCTGTCATTACTCTAATTTCAGCTTTGCTCAGGTTCAACAGTGAGTTTGTTCTCTTGGTTGACAGAGTAGGCCAGATAGATCTTGGCACATTGCACGTAGGTCCGTTGTGTCAGAGTTCATTGGCTCGTTCGTCGAAGAACGCCTCAAAGTTCCGAAAAAGATGATAGATGTGTGGTTTAATTGAGCAATCGAGAATTGAGATCCTCGTCTAACTAATTCGTTTGCTTTTTCATTACCCATGATGTCACGGTGTCCCGGTACCGAACACAGCCGATAGCTGTGAGTGTTTCCAAAACTGCTCTACACTCGAGGACGACCTCAGGTTTGATATTACAGGATTTGATGGCTTTAAGAGTCGCCTGACTATCCTCAATGATAGTCACTGGTTCAACAATGACAATGCTGAGACACAGAGGCCTTAAGTTCAGCATTGCGTTCAGAGCTGCTTGTGGGATGCTTCTCGCGGCTCCAGTTATTAGAATCGAGGCGGCTCTTTGTACCCTGTCTACTTTGCGATGTCGACTTGTGGCGCAAGCAGTGCCACCAAACAAGAGAACAATAGGAAATGATGGGCCTTACCACCGTGTTATACAACCAGTGTATAGTC